CCTTTTATTGAGGGTGCAGAAACAAACCCTCCTGATGCGCAGGAAGACTAGCAAGTATGGAGGAAGACGAGCCTGGCTTAGCAGGGAACTCCATCAGTGAACTGAAACATGCAAAGGGAAGCTTACAAGCAGTAGATACTTAGACAAATGACTAGGGAGGAGTTTAGGAATGTTCCTCAGGGACACAAATGAAATTTGGATGGCTGAAGCACAATTGGAGTTGCAGCCAGAAAGGGACTTGAAGGGTGACGAGGGCTTCTACAAGTATGTCAGCAACAAGAGAGATCCAGAAAGGTGTGTCCCTTATGGAATGGGGGAGGCAACCTAGTGACAAATGTGAAAGTCTGAAGTACTCTGCTCTTTTTCCCAATCTGTCTTCCCAGGCAAGGTCAGCTTCCAGACTACTGCATCCAGCAGCAGTTTGGGAAGGAGGTGAGCAGCTGACAGTAGCGAACGAAAAGGTTAGGACCTTTTTAGAAAAAGCAGACATCTAAAAGTCCATAGAGCTGGATGCAGTGTACCCAAGTGTGCTAAGATAGTTGACCAATGTGATTGCCGAAGTTTTGGCCATTAACTTTTAACTTTTGAGAACTTGTGGTGGTTGGGAGAGGCCCTGGATGACTGGAAAAGGGCAAATATAGTTCCCAACTTTAAGAAAGGGAAGGAGAAAGAGCCAAGGAACCACAAAGCAGTCGGCCTCACCTCTGTCACTGGAAAGATCATGGAGTGGGTAAAGAATACATTTCTAAGAACTTGGAGAAAGTGGTGATTTTTTTTTTTTTTAAGGAACAGTCGGCATGGATTCACCAAGGACAGGTCATGCCTGACCAACCTGATTTGCTTTCTATAATAAGATGACTGGCACAGTGGATGCAAGGAGACGAGTGGCTATAGTTTACCTTGACTTGAGAGAGACTGTTCTTGCTAAACCATTCTCACAAGCAAGCTAAGGAAGTATGGTTTGCATGAATGGACTACAAAGTAGATGGCAAGCTGGCTGGATTGTCAGGCTCAAAGGATAGTAATCAAAGGCTGTCTAGCTGGCAGCCAGTATCAAGTGGAGTGCCTCAGGGGTTGGTTCTGGCATTGGTTTTGTTCAGTAGACGATCCCACCTTCCAGGTCTTTAAGTGCTCCCTCAGCAAGTTCATAGATGACACCAAGTGTGGAGGGGACTAATAGATATGCTGGAGGGTAGGGTTAGGATTGAGAGGCTGTGTCTACACAAGATGCTACAGGACTGTAGCAATGCACTACTGCATAGTAGTGTTGGTGGGGGTGAAAACTGTGCAGGAACACTACCGCACAATAATGCTGGTTACTATGCAGTCATTTAGTACCTGGTTATGCAAGTACTAAATGACTGCACAGTCTGCCATTCATGTAGATGTGACCAGAGACCTAGACAAATTGGAGGATGGACCAGAAGAGATCTTGTGAGGTTCAGTAAGGACAAGTGCCAAGTCCTGTACTTGGAACAAAATGGTCCCATGCATTAGTACAGACCTGGCAACTGACTGGCTAAGCAGCAGCTGTGCGGAAAAGAGCCTGGGGGGAGTTACAGTAGAGAAGAAGCTGAATGAGCCAACAGTGTGCCCTTCTCAAGACTAACAGCCTACTGGGCTGCACTAATAGGTGCGTGGCTAACAGATCGAGGAATGTAGTTCTTCCCCTCTATTTGGCACTGAGGCCACCTCTACGAGTACTGTGTCCAGTCTTGGGCCCCCACTGAAAAGAGGTGGGCAAATTGGAAAGAGTGCAGCAGAGGGGAACAAAAATGGCTAGGGGGCTAGGGCATGTGAATTAAGAGGCTGAGAGGACTGGGCTTACTAGTATGCAGAAGAGAAGACTGAGAGGGGATTTGTTAGTAGTGTTTAACTACCTGAGGGCTGGTTCCAAAGAGAATGGAACTAGACTGTTCTCAGTGGTGGCAGATGACAGAACCAGGAGCAATGGTCTCAAGCTGCAGCAAGGGAAGTTTAGACTAGATGCATTCAGAGAAACTTTTCACAAGGATGGTAGTAAAGCACTAGAATATGTTGCCCAGAAAGCTTACGAATTCTCCATCTTTAGGTATTAAAAACTTCTGGCTAGAGAGGTTTTGGCTGGGATGATCTAGTTGGGGGTGGTCCTGCTTTGAGTAGGAGGTTGGACTAGATGACCTCCTGAGGCCCCTGTCAACCCTAACTTTCTGCAATATGCAGGAGTAGAACCTACAACCAGAGGTACACTATGCTATAAATGCACAAATAATACCTTTTGCTCTTAAGGGCCTGCACAGTACTGAGTGGTTAGATGGAACTTTTTTTTAATGAAGCCAACATGACTTTTTACCTTGATGCTTCTTTTTTTTTTTTTAAGGAAACTGAAGGAAAAGAACACTAAGGAAACTGCTTGGCTTTAGTTTGAGTACTAGCTTCACTCTCTTGGGTGTCTTTCAGTTCCCATGGCTGAATCTGTGGCTTTTTTATCTAGTTTAACTACCTCTTTAAATTTTTTTTTCTTGCTTTTCAGGTGCTTCAAAATATTGAGTGCTAATGGTGAACCAAAGGTATTCAGACCTAGAGATCGTGATGATATTGTAAAAACTGTAATTGAACCTATGGCCTCTGAGGGGCTCAGGACCATATGTCTAGCATTCAGGGATTTCCCAGCTGGAGAACCAGAGCCAGAATGGGACAATGAAAATGATATTGTTACTGGTCTTACATGCATTGCTGTTGTAGGAATTGAAGATCCTGTGAGGCCTGAGGTAAGGAAAACCAGTAATTGAAATAGAAAGCTTAATGTAAAGTAAATCTTCACTTAAGTTCGTTAGCAGTCCAGATTTGTTGGTGTTCTTAATAACTAGTATGGATTTAATACTTACCTCTTTTTAGCACAAGTGATATGAGGAACCTAGTTTAAGCCCGCTAGTTGCAAAAAAAAAAAAATCCTATTTTATAGTCCTGTCTTTCAGTGTTAGAACACTATACGCATGAATAACCTAAATACTGCGAGTACATTAGCTTTAACAGTAGAAGCATCTCTTTTAGGCAGTAGTATTGCCAAAGTAGTAATGACCTGTATTTAATTGTATGGGGTCTGTCACCTGGAGAGAGTGCAAAAGGTAAAGAAAGTCAAGGTAGTAAATCCAAAATGTAGTGTGACTGTTTTCTGAAGCGTGAAGTGGTAGGTACTGTGTAGAAGACCAACTCCAATGTGGGAATTGAATCTACCTCTTCGGAAAGTGAGTGTAACAAGCTGCAGTATTTTGACAATTGGGGGTGATTTACTTCCTGAAATGTGGAGCAGGTATTGGTCTAAATGAGAGGTATTCAATTCATCTGGCCCCATGGGGACCATAAGATTGGTCTGGCATGGGTGCTGCTTGCTGTACTTGCCACTTGTAGTGTACAGGGTTGGTCTAGTACACACTAAATCAGCCCTGTGCACTGGAACTGGCATGGCATCCAGAGCCAGTCTACGGACCATCTCTGCTGGCCGCAGATATAGCTCAAGGCTGTGCTCGTGTAGGCACCATGTGCTCCAGACTGCCCCTACACACTGCATGTCATGTCAGCTCTAGCCTGGCATGATGCGTGGAGCTGTTCTGGTGTGTATGCTCCATGCATTGCCCATAGCAGACCAGATCCAGGATGTAGATCTTGTCTGTGGACCTGATCTGGACCAGCCCTGGATCCAGTGTGCAGGGTTGGTCTAGTGTGGGCACCACATGCAGTAATGTATTGGGCAGTACCACGGTCTGGATGATATGGCTCCTGTCCGTAGCTGGCATCTTTAAGCAACAACATCAAGTTCCAGTCAGGGGTGTCGATCTGCAATGAGGCTCCTTATGCCCAGTGTAATGAAATTCATTTCTTAGACTACAGTACTTAAACTTGCCAGCTTGGCAACTAATGGGGAAGTTTTTTGTGGGGTATCGTGGGGAGAAGCACTTCACTTGATTTTTCATGGGGGTGGGGTGTATGGACAGGACTCTACAGATAAATTTCTAATGATGGAATACGGGGTAGGTCATCTCTTGGACTGAACTAATGCCCTTTGAATTTTAAAAAGTTATACCCATCCTTGTGCTAAAGGGTCAATTGCATTAGCTCAGCTGCATAGTGCTAACTTTACTCATTCAGTCCTAGAAGAGAACAAAAAGCTAAAGTTTTTTTATCATGGGTCATATCAGAAATTCAGGACATCTGTTGTCAATAATAATTTCTTTTTTTTTAAGGGAAACATTAAGTGCAGTGCTTTTTTTAGTTGCATTAAAACAAGCACAAGGTAAATGTGAACTTTTAGTAACATACCTGTTGTTTGTTTTTGTTTTTTGCATAAACAGGTACCAGATGCAATAAAAAAATGTCAGCGTGCTGGTATAACTGTTCGTATGGTCACTGGTGATAACATTAACACTGCTCGTGCTATTGCATTAAAATGTGGCATTTTGAATCCGGGTGAAGATTTTCTATGCTTAGAGGGCAAAGATTTTAATAGGCGAATACGGAACGAAAAAGGAGAGGTGACATTTCTTTCTTTTAAGATGGCTTTTGTCTTGTCTTAATCTGTAGCTTGGGAATAAGTAACTCTTTTTTTTGTACAGATAGAGCAAGAGAGAATAGATAAAATTTGGCCAAAGCTTCGTGTGCTTGCAAGATCTTCCCCCACTGACAAACATACATTGGTAAAAGGTAAATGTGGTATATCAATCGAAGTAACTTTAACAAAGCCTACGTTTCTATAAAGCTAAGCTTGCCCTTTTTTAGCATCAGTAAACTCCTTGAAGTCTTGAGTTCACTATTTAATCCCATTTCACAGCCCATTGATCCAAGGGTAAAGGTTGGGGCATCTATTAATACTATTTCTGATTTAGCTACAAAAGCCAATAGCTGATTGTATTGGCTTTAATGTCATTATTAAGACCAGCCTGGAGGTTCAGGTCACATGCTTTCTAGCTCCAATGGAGATTTTAGGATCAGGGAGGGTTTAGGAAGGGTGAAACAATGCTAGAACCATCCAACCTAAAGCATAGAGCATTATCATCTCAATTAGCTCATACACTTAAACTTTTCAGTATTGAATTTCATGTTTAATTTTTAGGCATAATTGACAGCACTGTCTCAGAACAGAGGCAAGTTGTGGCAGTAACTGGTGATGGTACGAATGATGGTCCAGCATTGAAGAAAGCAGATGTTGGATTTGCTATGGTAGGGATTTCTTTGCCTTCAGTATTCAGAGTAACCTGATGAATATAATTTAACTAAGCTTAAAAAACTTGCTTTCAACTTTTAGAAGCCCACTGATCTAGAAGTTCCTAGTTGTCATTTCCCATAGTTCTTACTCCATTTTTTCCTTTCAGTCTTTCTGACCTTTCCCACCTGAAGGTCAGGCTTTCATTCTCAGAGAAAGTGGATGTGTGATCTCTGTGGCATTGACCTGAGAAATGACATCCTGCTTTAATGCCATGTTTGCAGTAGTCGATCAGTCACTGCAGGTCAGGTATTAAGCAGAAGTTCGTTACTACTTTCTGCTCCTGTCATGAAAACTTCTGATACTGTAGTGTGTGGCTTATGAGTGGTTTTTTAAAAAATAAATAAATAAAATTGCCTGTGGTAGCCCTTAGGAATAGCTCTTTCAGTACTTGGATGTTGTAATATTTCTAGCTTTAAATACTGTGCTTACCTTGGCTATAAAATGCAGAGTTACCGTCCTGAAATTGGACTGAAAGTTGGTTGGATTGCAGTTATTGGCAAAGTAGAGCAGTATGAAGTACTTGGCATTGGGAAAACTTGAAACCATTTTTAATGTTAGTGTCCTTTCACCTTACTTGAGACCTAGCAACTGGACTGTCTCATTTTTAAGCTTGTTTTAAGTGATGAACTGAATGCAGCTACTTCTGCTCTGCGCTAAATTGCAGGCTTGTCTAAATAACCTGCTCTTACTGGGCAGGAATGAAATCTGGTATGAATTGCCAGATTATGATAGCAATTTGTGATATCAGAATAATTATGTTACTCATGTTGGTGTCTTTTTTTGAGGGTGGGAGGGGAGAGACTTGATCATCCAGCTTGGAGCATCCTTATTAGTAGGGGTACACTTTTTTTTTTTTTTTTGAAGAGAGCTGATTTTATTCACCAGGCATAGTGGCCAATATGGATCTGATAACAGATTTTTACAGGAGCACAACTGGGCACTGTGGAGAATAGTGCCCTGTGGGTAAGTCTGTGGGGGAGGGAAGGGGCATTGGGGTGCAGATCAGAGTCCCCATGGTGAGGGAGGGAGTGAAGCTGAGGCTGGGGGCTCTTTCCAGCCTGGGTGGTAGATGAGACCCTGTGCCCAGGGCAGGGAGCAAGATGGAGGTGCAGGCAGCTCGTCCAGGGAATCAGTGTCTTGGCGCTTAAATGACAGTGGGGGTGCTTGAACTAAAGCTCGTCAAATGAGCTATAGTTCAAGCACTGCTGCCACTTTGTGTGGATGCTTCTAACCAGAGTGGGGCAAGGGCAGATGCTTGCTGTGGGCTCAGTGTTCTCCACCCTGCTGCCTCTGCCCTCCCCTACCTGTTCAGCAGCCATAGCAACAGCAACTTGTGCCTCCTTCTGGGTGGGCAGGGAATGTGCAGCTCCCAGGGCAAAGGCAGCAGGGCAGACAGCTCTAAGCCTTCAGCAGGCAGCCCACATCCACCTTTACCCCATGCACAAATCTAGGATTGCACATACTCCCCTTGTGGCTTACCTAGGGGTGCAAGCAGCAGTTGGAAGCCACTGCTGGTGGCTCTGTCCCACGCCCTGCCCCATTCTGGCTGGGCAGCACTCCCTGCCCAACTCACTCCTAGTGGGAGCCTTGATCTCTCTCCCCATCCACCTTCCCCTCCACAGACTTACCTGCAGGGCACTGCTCTCCGGGCTGCCCAGCTGCCTTCCTGACCACGGGCATGCTGTGGCTGCATGCACACACATCTGGGGCCCCAGCCAGAAAGCAGACTATTTATTGGTACATTATTGGCTACACTGGCCAAAAAAAGCTGATAATGTTACTTTCCTTTTTATTGGTGCTGATCCAATATGACACCAATGTATTGGTGCACTTCTACTCATTAGAACGGGGTGTTTGTACCTGTTTGTCCCTGAAGAAGAGATTCTCTTTTTTCCTTCTGGCTTGAATTCTTTAAGGTGAACTGAGTGTAACCAATTTTATACTAAGTTCAGTATTTAAATTGGAATGGCTGTTAATTCCTGATTTTAAGGTCTTTGAGGATTAGCTGTTAGTCATATTATTCAATCTTAGTTCTATCTTGTGTTAAT